GGGTTAAAGAAATTGGTTACTTGAGAGTTTCTTACTTGGGACTTGTAGAAATAAAAATTGAGGAATTAGCTGATGTTATATTGAAGGAAAATATGGGATAGAGATTAGTAGTGAAAGATTAGACGAATTTGAATTATTATTATACTTGTAAGTGTGGAAAGAAGTGAGGCAATTATTAGTGCTGGCTAGAGAGGATAAGAGACCGAGATTTGATGGTCAAACTTCATGTATCATGATTGTGAACCCAGATGAAAGAGTTTCAAAGGAATAAAATGCATTTTCCTGCTCATTTACCTCCTAGAGAATCTATGCTTTGAAATTCTAAAAGAAAATGAGGATGTACTAGTTTTATTTTCAAACGATGTTTGGAAATAATATATATATGCTTTAAGTATGTGTAATTCTTCGATTTTGGTAAATATGTGAATTTTACTTGAATTTCAGTTTAAAATTTGTGAATAACTGATGAGTTGTTGAAATTTTGTATGTGATGGGTAGATATAAGGTTAAAATTTTCTAAACTAGATTTTCCCCCTTGATTGTATACTGGTGTATTCTCACACTTGAATTCGTCTATGCTTTACAAAAAAATAATAAATAATAATAATAAAAATATCTTGAGTTTTCGGAGAACGGCGAACTTATATTTTTATATGAAATCTTGAACTTGATAAGATTTTTGTTACTTTAAATACTCTTCTTATGTTTTAAAATTCTTGGTTTTCAAGAAGGGTGAGCCTATCTTTAGGTGTACGGATTGAGGGAACTTTGAGATATAGAGTAACCGCATTCAAGAACACGCAGTTAGTGTGAATTGACTTGGTTTCCATTTGACACGTAAGTTAGCAAGTTGTACTTATTTCTTGGGTTTGAACTTGGAGCTTGAGACTTTAACTATAAAACCCTAAGACTGTTATTCTTGGAGATGATGGTGCTCTGGTTGGTGGCTTGCTTATTAAAGATTTTGAATTTCGAATGGATAACCTTTGGTTTCCGCTTGTGTTATGGTTTGATTGGATCTAATTTCGTAAAGGCATGTGATCTGATTGGAATTAGTGATATTCGGACCCATTGGTTTAATTAAGGACTTAGGAAGGGTGGTGCACGCCGTGAGACCTTTTGTATCCCGCTTGCATATACTTCTACATTTTGTGACCCTTAATTGCCTATATACAGTATTTGACATATTGGGCTTGTTTTGTGACTTCTTAACTCGTACTATAACCTTCGATACATGTAAAGAATCATGTCTTGATTCTAAATATTTTTGCAACTTGTATATGCATTAAGTTCTTTTATGATTAATTATTCCTTTTCTTGCGCTTATAGACTCCTATTAAGTATGGTAGCAGGAATAGGAAAAAGGGGTCGTGGCCGAGGGCTTAGACAACCCTGTACTCGTGAGAAAAATTGATGGATAGTCTTATATAATTTAATGAGATCCTAGTACTGAATATGAATCGAGAATAAACCAGAAGATTAGATCTACCAGTGTATAATGGATTAACCTAGTTGGGAACTTAGTGAGATTTTCCTGTGTGAAATTTTAATAGCTGCTTTATACGTATATTATGATTGGTCCTGTGGCCATATTTCAACTTTTGTGAAAGTTTGAACTCAAAAGTATTTCGTGGGTTTGGTGAGATGACTTGAACTCATTACCAATTTGTTCTACTTGAACAAAAGCGCTTTCAATTTTACTTGACTAATACTATACCCAGATTCACTTGTTTTACTTTTCACAAAATTTATATATATATATATATATGTATACACATTTTGAACTCGTTTGAGACTCGAAATCAGATAGAGTTCAAGTTCGAATCTTTCTTAGGAACATGAATGCCTATTTGTTATGAATCAGAGATTAGAAATGATCGGGTTTTATGTACCAGTAGAGTTAACTCTTGGTTGGATAAAAGGGTGGTAAAGGTATTGGATCACAGGTTATGCGAATATGAACCTACATGTTTACCTATCTTTCTTAAAGGTATTTTCTAAAATATACGCCTTACTCGAACATAGATTTAACTCGAAACTTTGAGGAAAAGTGTTGGAACACCCTCCATGTATATGTTATGATTATTATGTATATGTTTTAAAAATCATGCATTAAGTTGCATGATTAATATTCTTAAATCTATTTGAGAGATTTTAAATATGTATTGATGATTGTGGTTAAACATTATTTGAAATCTCTTACTAAGAAAATTTAGTTTTGGGTCGTGAAGAAAAATTTGTATCTTTAACTCTAATTTTGAAAATTTTGAATCGCATTTTGCCACAGATACATTCAAAATACATCAAAAGTCTTGACCTTATCTTGTAAGTCATGATTGGTTTGATTTAGACAAAATTTTGAGGAAAGGGATTTTGGTCCTGCTAGTGCGTAACAGTTTTTTTGTTAGGATTTGGAACTTGTTTCATATGGCGTGTAATTTATGGTTTCACTACACACGGGAGTAAGACCTTAGAATGGAAGTACATATCATTATATCAAGAGGTATTACTTTAGTCGTGTGTGTGGATTTTCTTAAGTATCATTCGAGGAGAGGGAAGAGTAAATATACCTGGATGACTTAGATGCGTGAGAATTTACAGGTTGTGGATAGTTGAGTTTCAAATTCTGATTTGCTACTTATTTAGATGCTTGAGCTGTTGATAGGCTAACAGTCAGGATTAAGAAAATGGATGAATGAAAAGTTTGGAAGAGATGCGTATAGAAATAGAAGTTCTTCACAAGGAGTTGGAATTCCAAACTAAATTGGCTGAATTCTGGGAAGAAAAAAAAAAGGTCGAGAACTTAGGGTTGAAGATGGGATCCAATGTTTGATCGCCAATTTGAGATATTAAAAGTTGTGAGATTTGGGTGAGTGAAAGGAAATATTTGATGGCTTGAATGAGCCTAACGATTAAGGACCGGATGTTATATTTGGAATGGACGCTTGAGGCTATATATACATAGATTATTGAGATTTGAACGATGAGACTATTAAGAACAAATACTCCATAGCCTCACATAAACGAGAATTATAATCAAGGGTCAAGAGCAGCGAATAAGGGATTTAAAGTAGAGTTACTACCAACCGGGAATCCTAGAAACTGATGTGCTTAACCACTTCCAATTCAAGATGGGGATGCTTGAATTTTCAGTTATGCCAATTGGGTTGACTAATGTATTAGCAGCAATTATTGCATTAATGCATCAAGGTTTTAAATCGTAATAGGATTAATCTGTGATGGCATTTATTGATGATGTATTGATATACCCTAAAGTTTGAGAAGATCATGAAAAAAATACCTGATGGTAGTTTTACAAACCCCGAGAGAACGCTAACTTTTGTTAAGTCAATAAATGTGAGTTCGATGGGAAGAAATAGCCTTTCTAAGTTATATAATATCTAAGGAAGAAATTGTTGTTAACTCAGCTTAAGTGGAAGCTGTTTAAGAGGAAATGACTAGAAAATCCTACCGAAATTTGGAGTTCTTAGAGGTAGTCGAATATTACCTTGGTTTGATCAGGGACTTCTAAGGATACGAGACTTGGCAAGTTATTTGAGATTCTAAATGTGAGGAAGAATTTGAAGGTGAAAATCGTTTAACCAGTGCACTTGTGTTGGCTTTACCGAGCGGATGAGGTGATTTTGTGATTTATACAGATGGTTCAAAGGATGGTTTAGAATGTATATTAATAATATATGATGAGGTGATTGTATATGCCTTCTGAAAGTTAAAATCTCCGGAAGAAAGTAATCAACTCATGATTTGGAGTGAGTTGGAAAATGTAAGTCAATGATTGATCTGATAGGCTTAACCATGAAGGGAATGATATTGTTCTAAGTATGAATTTCGAGGACGAAATTCCTTTCAAGGAGGGGAGGATGTGAGACCCGAAAATTTTCTTATTTTTATAGAATATTACTGGAATATTTAAATGATTATTCACTCATTTTCTTCGAATTATTTATTTCGACCATTTTAAATCCATTTATATGGAACGACCTCTTTATATTTTTAAAGCGTTTTGTTGAAAAATTCGCTTTTCGAAAATTTGTTTAGTCCGGAACGACGGGTGCACGTTTTTCTAGGCTATACTTGAATCGGGAGTGTATTAATATTGGAGAATTAAGAACGATCAATAATAGATTAAGAAAGGTTAATGGAGGAATTAATACTCAATTCACGTGAGGACTCGTAAAATTATTATTTTTAAAACCCCTAATTTTGGCTCAATTAATTATTTATTTGGATTTTTGCCACGAATAATATTTTCTACCTTATTAGACCTAAGTACATGGTTTTATAGTTTCGTTATATTTTTAAAGTGTCTCGTTTCAAAAATTATTTTCTTATAAGCTTGTTTAGTGAAAAGGTGAAAACGTGTCCAAACACTTTAGCCAATTGGGAATACAATAAGCTCGAAAATTTGAGACATATACAATGGTCCTAAAATAGGTAAATTTAGGTTTAAATACTCAAGTGATAGTTAGTGGTACGATCGTTATAAGAATTTCTCGAAGGTTTCATTTTATTGCGCCTAAATTGGAAATACGTGTTTTCACGTGCGCGCTTAATTGAGGGACTTTGGACCATTATTTTGGGACAATTAAGAATGAATAATATTTATATGAATGTAAGTGCCCTAGAGGTTTAGTGCACTAGTGCAACAAACTTAAGAGGAATCGAGCACAAAACGCGCGCGTATACGCACCTTTTGCGGTTGATTTTTGTGCCCTTAAAATATTAGACGTCAAACTTCATTTGTACGCAAAGAATCAGATCAAAACATCCCTCTTTTCCTCTCATTCTGGCCGAGCAACAGCTGAAGCAAAACACCTTCAAATTTTGCAAATTTCACCTCCAAATCTTGCTCAAACCTCCACCAAATTCAACCAAAATTTAACTACACTTAACTCAACACTTGGGAAGTCCATCTAGCTGCAAAAGAAAGGAGCTCTCCACGGTTTTCTTCAGGCTTCAAAGGGCGAAAATTCTGACTTGACCAACCATCAAAGTAGGTAATGATCCAATACCTTAAACTTGTCCTATGGAGGTTAAATTATACATATGAGCTTGAATCTTCACATGGGTAGCTAGTATTGTTGGAAAATTTTGATGGTGGGCTCTATGAACTCCCACCTCTGTGTTGATGGCTGATTTCATGCTTGATGATGTCTATAATGTTAGATTAGTGCTTAAACTAGTGGATTATTGGTGGAAAATTGATGGAAACTCATGACGGGTGCAAAGGCCAAATCTGACCATTTTGCCCCTGTTTTGTTCGGCCCACTTTAATGCAGAAATTTGAGGATTTAATGGCTTGATTGGTTGTTTACATGTTGTAGTAGTTGTATAAAAATTTTCATTGAAAAATATTGAGTTTTGGTTGGTCAAATGAATTTATTTCCCAAAGCTAGTAATCTGGAAACTGTTTTCGTAATGACCAACCAGTGTTCGTATTTCGGCCGTAACTTTGTCCTCCGATGTCGAAATCAGTGCCGTTGGTGGATTTGAAACTAGACATCCACACCTTTCCAACGGTGTAAAATTCACATTCTGGTTCCATGTGTGTGAGCCGCAGACCACTCTTCTGAATTCAGCTGTTCTGTTTCTCTGTTCCGTTGGAATGATTTGATGATGCTGCAACTTTAGGCTTAATTTCGAGCCAGTTGCATGCTGAATCTTAAAATGATTTCTTCTGTGAAATTATATCCCTATGAATTAGTTTCTAACACTATCAACCATGCTCAAATCCAGTTAAATTGAGTGAGTTATGATCAAAATACGGTGACTGCCTTGTTCTTGAAAACCTTGGATTTAGACAGATTTGATGTGAGACTTGTTGTGGTCTTACTAAATGAATTTCTTGGTGCTAAACACCTACCAAATGTACCATGAATGTTTCTTAGACTTTTCTTGCACAAATGAACCATGTTTGGAGGTTTTCCTTAGCCGAATGTTTGGAAACGGAGAGAAAGGGAGCTAAAGGCAGTTTTGCCTTAGTAATTTCAAAACTTTGGTTGATTGGTTAACCACCTTCCCGAAGGTATTTTTCCACAAATTTGATAGAGAAATACCCTTCATATAGGAGTACTATACTGCAAAATTTGGTACCAATCCAAGTCCGTTTCGACACTTAACTAAAGGTCCAAAGTCGGAAACCCAAATCTGGAAATTGTTCAACAGTCTTGAATTTTTCCCAACTTTGAGCTACTATCTTGGTCTCGAAACTCCGATTCTCGATCCACTTTCTGTCCTAAACCTTACTTGCATCTCTAATTGTGTATAAATTTCAAGGGCTGGTTTGCAACGAGTGAATTCTGCCGAATTTCCAAAGTTAGCGAAAAACCAACCCCGGCTCAATCCTGGGTGATCCGGAACAGCAACTTTAAGCTCATTTTTGAATATCTTCCATTTAGATTCATGGAACGGTGTCTTCTAAGAACTTTTAGTACTTTCAAAGACGATTCCAACGGTACCAAGTTTATCAATTTTTGACTAGTAGAAAAGAAGTTATGATTTTTCAAAAATTTTACCAAAAATCGAGAATTCTGGAATTTCAAAAGAAATCCGCGCGGGAAGCATTTTTCTAGAATCCGGCCTTGAATCCGGCAGTTTCTGGCCGGATAGGCGGCCGGATTGTAGTTGGGATTTGAAAAAATGAGGATGGCTACTGCCTCCAATCCGGCCGGATATCCGACCAGATTCCGACCGGATTGTGATGTGGCCAGTCCACTTTCAACTTCGGTCGTTCGTTTTGAGATTTATTCGCGCGTACTCGTTTCCATCCAATGATTTCAGGAATAATAATCCGATATTACTCGAGTCTCGTACCTTTTTACGAATCCAACTTCAAAGACAAACTCAAACGAAATTTCCAAAATATTTCCAGACCACATTTGTGTTCGATCTCCTCGTCTCTAGGGACCTATAGTAATGGTCTTCTATTCGATGTTCAGGCACGCACGATGACCTCCAAGAGGACCCTACCGTGGAAGTTTGAACACTCAATCCAACCTGCTTGCTTGCGTAACTTGGTGAGTGTCAAGTGTGTGTTACTTGAACTCCTGTGAATTGGATACGTGATTACTTGTTATTGGTATCTGAGATTTTGAAAATAGAGTCGAGTGTGTACTTTATCGCACTCGTTCTCATTCGATCTCATTCGAAATGATTTAACTCATGCTCAACTTGCTTGAATATATCGATTGCTTGGATACATAGATTGCTTGTACATATCAATGCTTGATACATGATATGGTATGCTATGGCTGCATACGTCGTTGGAGTGAATCTCCTCGACACACAATTGCACATGGGGACGCCCACATCTCATTGGCCGACCTTGGACTCGAGCCGGCATGGGTTTGGTCGAGAACCTTGGCGAGCCATGAGATATATAAGCTTGACCTAATGAGAGATTTTACTCGGCATACTCGAGTAGTATCGCCACAAACAAATGACAGGCGGGCTCGATACAGGGGTATGTAAGGTGAAAGGGGACAGGTTAAGAGAAGTTCTACGGACAAAACCTACCCGATTGACGGAGTGTCAATTCGTGGAGGTTTTTGATCGTGCAAGTGGAATATAGCTCCTGAGAGCTCCTATATCCTTGAATTGTTTTCGTTTACTTTCCGATAAATTGTTAATTATTGAAATATATTATTGCTTGGTTTGTAATTGGGATTGTTACTTGAACTACGTGCTTGCATGTGTGTCCTTGGCCTCACGACCGTTTTACTCACCCGTAGATTTGTTTTCCTTAACAGGGTGGAACTCGGAGGTGTACTCGAAAACCTTCCTGATGGGCTTTTGTTTAGGATTTCCATTACTTTTGGCTATGATTTGGTTTTAGGTTGTACTTTTGGATTTGAAATGTAACTCTTTGGGCGATGATATAACTTTTGGGATTCATGATGTACTTTGAACCCCGACGTACGGGTTGGATTATGAATGAATATTGTTAAGCTTGAACGCTTCTGCATTTACTGTATTTAAGTTATTTACGTGTGTTGTGTAGTTCGATAATAAGCTTGAATGGATTTGCTTGAGTCCTGGCGAGAGCTAGGCAGGCGTCTCGCGGATACCCTTTGGTTCGCCTTAGGGAGAAGTGGGGGCGTCACAAAGAATAATTCTTAAAGATTTCATCCAATTTTCATTGTTATATTTGGTGGGCATTCTTTAATCCAAATGGCATAACTAACTATTCATATTTTCCTTGAGGAGTACTAAAAGCTGTATATTTAATATTATCATGATCTATTTTTATTTGCCAAAAATCACTTTTACAATCAACTTTAGAATATATTTCTTTCTTTTACTTATATTTATGAGAGTTTTTTTTACATGGTAAAAAATATTCATCAAATATGGTATCATTATTTAGCTGCCTATAGTTAACAACTATTCTAGATTTATTTCTTACTATTTCAACATATGATTTCTTACCATAAATGCGGGTGAAGAGTGGGGAGAATTACTTTCTCTTATTAAAGTTATCTCTAATAGTTGTTTCATTTGTTTTTTGAATTCATCTTGATCAATTGGATTATACCTCATAGGTTTAATTTTATTTTCATTTTTAAGTTTTATTTCAGCATAATCTTGGTTTCTATCCCAAAATTTAAGTGGATTCTCTATGTATCATAATCGTAATTTTTCTTTTATATCTTCTAGAGAAGTGGACATGTTTTTTAATTGTAGTTGTTTTAAATATAATTGTCTTTCAAATTTTAACATAGAACTTCCTTTAGGAATTTTTGGATATTTTGTATATTCAATATCATCATGCTGACCCGTGTGAGGATGAAAGGTAATAGGAATTTTGCGAGCATAAGCATGTTTAAGGCGTGAAATTACAATTTAGTGGCCACAAGGAGTTTTAAAATGTATTTGAGATTGTAAAGTATCGAATAAAGTTTCATGAAATAATTGAAGAAAATTATTTTATAAGAGTATATTGAGTCCTGTATCAAAAAGTAAAATGGAGGACATCTAATAAGAAACAAACCAAATAATATTTATGGCTTAGTTATTCCAGAATTTAAAGTAATAGGGTTATTAGAGATATAGATACCTATTCCATCAGACAAATTTTCATGATATTGTGGTGGAAAACACGTGGGTTTACATAAATATGTTACTAACCCTTTATCAATATAGGCTACAAAATATTTAGCTTTATAATCTTCATAAGTTATTCAAATAGGTATATAAAGATTACATTGACTTGTCATTTTCGTTCGATATATATCTTTTTATCATTATATGTAAGAAGAATACCATTAGTGTTTATAGAATAAGGAGATACTGTTTATAAGAAATTAGTTCCTAATATTATTTCAAGAGTCTCATTGAATCCTTCATTTTCAACTAGAAGTCAAATAGGAATTTGATTACCAGCTAATTCTATTTCTATTTCTACAGCCTCTCTTATTTCATGGGTTTCTCCATTAAAAGTAGTATATTGATAAGGATCTTGTAATTGATAAATAAGTAAGTGCTCAACCAATATATGAGATATATAATTTCCATTAGCACCTATATCTATTAAAATATTATAGATTTTCATATTTTTCCCATCCCAATATTTAGATTCTCTTTTATAACTTATTATCTTTCAGCTTGTATTCATATTTGAAAAACGATGAGAACTACTTTTCACCATATTTTCTGTATAGGATAAGTTTAGTAAAAATGTATTAGATTTATCTAGTAGAGATTTTTGGCTTATATCTAAATTGAATATCTCATCTAATTCGATATTAGTAATTTCTAGAGGATATATTCTTCCTACTTTGGAGAATAATTTAGGTAGATCTATGAATTCAATATTTGAAAAATTCTCAGTATAATGAGTATTTGATGAGGCATAAGAAATTATATATATAATAGAATATGTTCTATTTTCATTAAAAATAAATCATTTTTAAAATATTGTATTAAGGAAATTTTTTATTAAAATTTTTATCTTGTATATTATAAGAAATTTTTAGATATATATTAAAAATTTGTTTTGATATTTAAAATTTCTCTAAAAGTACCTAGTGTAACTTCTTCCCTACTCTCTATCCTATTATCAACTATAGCAACATCTATAGGACTATTTAGTCATTCTTTAAATATGGACCTAATAATCATTTGAATAGAACTTATATGAATCCATCCTATAAATTCTCTTATTTTTTTGGTATTTTCATTAATTTATTATAAATATCTTTTTAGTAAGGCTCTATTCTAGCATTTTTTTCTTTGAGACTTATTTCATAAAACATATGGTAACTTTTTAGATAAAATTTTATCTTTTTTAATGTAGGGACATTGAATCCACTATAAGAGTTTATTGAAAAATTACTTTTTTGAATTTTTGCTAATATTTTTCTATTTATAAGTGCCGTCTCACTATATTCACCTAACTTTTTTTCGAATGAATATCTATTATTTGAGAAGAATTACTTTTCTCTTTTTGAAAATACATCCAAGCAAGGTTTTCAGACATATGAAGGAAATGGAGCATTTTCTTCAATAACGATCAACAATGCAAGAAAAACCCTAGAGTAGCAATGAATTTTTTAAATTGAAAAATATGTTTACTTGACAACTGTCAAATCAAGTCAAACAATAAAACTATCAAGACTCTATGCAGGATGAGACAATATAAAAACAATACATGTCTGATTTGCACTAAGGAGAAAAAAAACAAGGAGATCTTATCAAACAGTCAAAGTATGGAATAAAACGTAAGCATTGACATTAGAATACACTCCCAGAATCTAAAATATTTTGTTAAAGTCCGTGGAATTCAAGCAAGTTAAAGTCTCTGGAAAATATCACTTAAAGTTCACAGCCTTTATAAATAGGGAGACTGCTTATGAAAAAAGGCATTGGACCAATGAAATAGCCAATTTGTCTTAAAATAGATCTCTCATGTACAGTTAAGAAAAAAAGAATAGTGTGTAGTATCCTATCTTGTACTACAATTTTCTTATTAATGAAAGAAAAAAGTTTTTCATTGCTTTCATTTCTTTACATCTGAGTATGCTTAGATGTAGGAAACAAAACTAAAATGTACTACTAAGCTCTGAAACGGCAGAGACAGTCACCCTGATGGTTGGATGCTGCAATGCTCAAGTAAGAAGTCATTGGAGAAGTAGTAGGAGTTTTGTCGATCAAAAATCATAGCTGAGATATGAATGTATGATGGACCATTTTCTGTCACTAATAAGAAATTGTTAGTCTAGGTATGGTATACACTCAATTCTCTTGAAAATTGATGGAAGATATGTCAAACTTATATAGTAATTTATCAATAAATATAACATATCCTGAATACATTTTACGGAGAAAAATAACTGTTACATCAAGATTTATAAATAAAAATATCTTGTTAGCCAATCCAAACTTAAATTTTGACTTAAATTTGGGCACCGAAATAGTGGTATTGCAAGAAAAACAAAAGTCGAAAAAGAATTGTCAAACAGATGGGAAGTAGAAAGCCACTAAAAGAGATTAAAATTAATTAGGAAACAAGAACTGAACCAAAAAAAGGAAATTCTACTTAATAGATGAAAACATTATGAATGAGAATGACAACCAAAAGGGCAAAAAAAATAAAGGAAAGATTGCTGAATAGCAGAACCTCAAGTTGTCTTTGGTCCAGTTGGTGGCGCCAACCTGAATGGGGCTCCCATTTCCTAATGAGAGCCCTAATGTGAGACTGTCGAGATGCTGGAAGCCCTTTGATAGTTCCCCAGCTTAAGGAGGTTGTGTTCCTTCACTCCCTTTAGCTTATTTTCCTTCTTAAAACAAAAACCAAGGAGGTTTTCATTAATAAGTTAAAATGTGGGTTAAATTTGATAATCTGTTTGTTATTGATCCCATTGGAAAAGCTGGTGGTCTAACATTTTTTGGAAAACTGTGCTAAAAATTGATAAAATCCTTTACATTGATTTCACTATTGAATTGCTGATTGATGATTCTGATAACAAGAGGAAATGGTGGTGGTCGTGATGGTGGTCGGGTGTGTGTGTGTTTATGCTAACTCTGATGACACCATAAGAAGGATCCGGTGGGATATCATGACTCAAAGGAAGCTAAGCTGGGGTAATAATTGGATCATTCTGGGTGACATAAATGACATATGGGTATGTTTGAATATTTCATTTTTTCAAATAATATTTTACTTGCATTATAAACATATTTTCCAACCCACCTTTTTATTTTTTCAATTACCTTTTATTTCACATACATTACATTACAAAAAATGCTATAGTAATTATTCCAAATAATATTTCAAATAACACCGGGAGTGTTTGGATAGTGAAATTATCCCAAAAACTATTTCGCTTGCATCATAAACACATTTTCTAATCCACCTTTTTATATTCCCAATCACCTTTTTATCTCACATTTATCACATCATAAAAAGTGCTACAGTAATTATTTCAAATAATATTCTATATAATACTCTATCTACCATTATTTCCAAACTGACCCATTATTTCCAACGAAGAATAAGGGGGAGGGAATTATAGACTTGAGAGCAGTTTCAAAGTCTTTAGGGACTTTCTTAACGAGAATCAGTTGATAGACCTAGGCTTGGAGGGGGTGTCTTGGACTTGGCCCAATAATTGGGGTCCCGAAGGTAGTGTCAAAAAAAGACCGGTAGGATCTTGTGCAGCAAGATTGGAGGGACATGGATATGAATAGGTCACACGTAAACACATTACCAATGAAACCTCGAATCACTGCATTGTCAAGCTTGGCAAAAATCCACCAAAAGTGGAAAAAAGATTTCAATTTGACAGAAGAATATAGAGAAGTAAATGATGTGATTAGACAAGCCTGGATCCTATCCTACATCGAAAGATCATGGGGTCTTTACTTTGGGTTTAAGGTCCACAAGAATCATGTTCAATTATCAATTGGCTAAATAATGGTTCTTTGGGGTCCCCTAGATTGCTTTAGGATTGGCTTTGATT